GTGGAACATCTTGCTAATTGGCATAGGGTGACTCTTTACAACACAATCAGTAACAAGGAACATGTTGCTAAAAGAGGGATGGCAACTATTCATTAGATTATCAGCAACAAGAGTCTTGTTGCTGAAAGTAGGTGGGCTTACTATTCATTAGATTATCAGCAACAAAAGACATGTTGCTAAAAAGTGGGTGGCCACACTCCCCCTCTAACTTTTAGCAACATACGTCACGTTGTTGAAAATATGGTTTCAGCAAGTTGTTGAAAATGAGGCCAAGTTTCGATGCCAAATTCTCATTATTTTGGTCACCGGTTTACCACTAATTTTTAACAACATGAGCCACATTGTTGAAACTATACTTTCAGTAACGTGGCTTATGTTGTTGAAGAGGGTGAGAAAATTCACTCCTTTCTCATCGAATTTTGGTGAAGGTTTTTAGCAACATAATGTACGTTGCTGAAAACAATATTTTCAGCAGCATATCTTATGTTGCTGATGTATCAACAACAAAATGTTTGTTGGTAATGTATTACCTACCAAGCCTTCTCCAACAAAGCTTTTAGCAACCAGAACAACATTGTTGAAGCATGTTGCTAAAGATAGGGATTTTAGTAGTGTTTTAAAATTTAAAAATTTTATTAGTTTCAACAAATTTAAAATCAAATCACAATAAATTAAATAAAGTAATTTTTTTAATGTCAATTACTTTATTTATTAAATTTAATTAAAAAAATTGAATGATCAAATAAGTCAAAAAATCAGCTCAAATGCCAAATCCCTTGGCATATAAGCATGACATGGCAATATTTTACCATCCAAGCAGCCAAGCGAGCGAGTCCCAAACGGCAATTAAGTTGGCATAAGAAGAAGGGCTTAATTGGTTTGATCGCAAAGTTTAAGGGCTTATATCCATCAATTAAAGTTTAGGGGTTTAATAGCAATTCTGGGATTAGTTCAGGGGCTTAACTTATGGTTTTGCCAAAACCTAATGGTCCCGATTTCATACCGAAATTGGTGGCACGGCAAGAGGGGTGCGTGAACGACATCCAGCACTCCTTACGATGGCGTTGGAACTCGCCGTAATCTCAGCTTAACCCGAGCTTAATTAACTCCATATTGGCAACGTTCATTCACTCCACGTGTCAAGCATGGCACTCTCTTTGCTTAAGTATTTAGTGTCTTACGTATCCAAATGATAATTATTTTTTTAATTAGAATCTATTAGGGTGTTCATATTCGATCCAATCCGATTGATCCGACCTAAACTGATCCAATTCGATTAAAAATCAAATCAAACTGATATAAAATTGAATTGGTTTGAATTATAAAAATTTAAAACCGATATAATTGATTTGGTTTATGATTTTACTTTCAAACTGCCCGAACCTTCCGATTATAAAAAAAAATCTGATTATAAGATAACTTAATTAAATAATATAATATTTTTATAATATTTCAAATTTTCTTTTTCTTATTTTACAAGATAATGACTCT